ATTTATGTCACATAATACATTTGTGGCATAAATCATAGGTAATAGGAGTTATGTGATAAATAAGATGTATGTTTATACAGAAACTGCAAAACTGTTGCATGCAAATGTATTCGTGCCACTTAGCAAAGCTAATAATGTTATGTGGGTAACGAGTCAAAAATCAGTCCTTCATATAATTTCTTTTGAGTAAAGACCGTGCAATATTTTTCATTATTCTGTACAAATAATAATTTAAAAAAAAACGGACATCTGACATACAAAACCTTCTAGTTTCAAATGTTGACAGTGTTTGTGAAATTATGCTTGATTAATTTATAAATTTACAATATTGAACTCAATAAATTAAATATATACAACTAGCTGACCCGCGCAACTTCGTCTGCGTCTCTCAATAGTAATAAATTTTCTCCGTTTTTGAAACATTCTTCATTGGTGCTCCGCTCCTATTGGTCTTAGCGTGATGATATATAGCCTATAGCCTTCCTCGATAAATGGGCTATCTAACACTGAAAGAATTTTTCAAATCGGACCAGTAGTTCCTGAGATTAGCGCGTTCAAACAAACAAACAAACAAACAAACTCTTCAGCTTTATAATATTAGTATAGATTAGAGAGTCATTGCACACACGGCAGTTTGATCCCAAACTAGGTAGACTACTGATAAACCCACGAACTGTGTGAACGAACCTTGCGAAATATCAGTAATATTTTCTGAATTTCACTTTTGCTGGTGAATTAGTATTACCCACTTCCAGTCCTGTTTTAATGAGTACTGTACCGTTTATAATATAAAGATATTATCCAAAGCACTTTGGACATTTGGTTTTAGACAGAAATTAAGTAAACTTCATGTGGCGTATGGAAGTGAGTGTGAAGTGAGTGATATATGAAACAATTCAATACGGAAATTAGGTAGATTCAGTTTCATTAATAAAAGTGGGCCAAGACCCAATGTAATAAATATCGTATCTTTTGACTTACATATTGTTTATACAATAGCATCCAATACTGTTGGGATTACAGAGACGGACATCGGCCCGCTTCCCTGATTTATTATTGCATATATCGAACACCGAATGTTTGTGTCCCCAACTTATTCTAATATAAGCGACGAACGGTGTTAATGTCACCTATAAACGGATTGATTTGAGAATACGGTAAGTATACTTATTATTCCTATCTATATTAATGAATTCCATATATTTTATAGTTAGTTTTAGTATTGTAGTTAGATTATTGATGTATGTAAATGAACAAATAAGATGTTTTAAGAAGAAATTAAGAAGGCATGAAACATGTCGGAACATTTTATAGGCTCTGGTATTACCTGTGAACGAATCTGGCGGCATTATCTTATCCCCCGACAATAATCACAATGAAAAACTTGGTTACTTTACGAGCAAGAGAAACTTTATATGATCACGTTGGCGGTTATAATTGAAGGGTGCGATAAGTCCGCGTTTATTGCAGTCCCATGACAGTTCAGTTCATTCGATTCGCGGTTAGCCCGTTTGTTGAACATGAAGTTACCAAAGTAAAATAATATGCTATGGGGTTAATCTAAAATGTTTATCGTATTATAGGCTTGAATAGCTGTTTTTGTAACGCCAAGCTAAGTCTCCACTTTACTGTAGACATAAGGACTGCACAGTGACTGGACAGTAGTTTAAGTGGTTACCTCGCTGCTTCCTACTGAGTTGAGTGTTGCTGGTTCGATTTTCACATGGGAAAATACTTTGCGTGATCCACAAATTGTTGTTCTGAATCTGGGTGTTCTTTGTGTCCGTTTTATGTATATATGTAAAGTCCAACACACAGGATATATTACTAGTGCGGGAATTGTTTAAAAAAAAAACTACGAGTACATGGCGTATGGCGATGCCAACAAGTCGGTCTATATTAGTGGGCTGACACCTTAGTTCGATACATCTCACGCACATCAGTCCTAGAGATATTAAATAATTATAATGAGAGCAAAAGTATATTTCAAACTATTCGGCTGTTAAAATATTAGCAAAGACCTGAAACTCACCTTTTAATTATTCTGTAAATGACATCGAAAAGTAAATAAGTGGTCTGTAAGAAAGAGATTTTAGTTTAATGTAACTGCACCTGAGAATTCCAATTTTCGTACTAAAAATTCGGTCACAGTTCAGTTCCGATGAACTCGCGGTCTCACATCTGTGATGCAACGTATTTTCTTAGTATTAAACATCTTATGTTGACTGTAATATGATTACATCGTATTGTAACCGAAAATTTAATCATTAATCTACTAGTCTTAGTAATACTTTACTATTTTATAGTGTCCGATGAAAAGTCAATATCTATGTATGACTTAACTCTATTTTGCTTTTTGGAGTTCTACATACAAATTACCATCACTTTTACTTGTACTTAAAACTTCAGTCATGTTATTAAAATATTAAAGTACTATGCCAGTAGTACTTTCTAACTGCTTGCTTGCTGTCTTGGTATAGTTTCAAGATATTGGAGAAGGTAAGCTAGGTCAGTTATCATTTTTATTAAGAAAATGCTGGTTCTACAATACTAAAATGGTTTTATTTTTTAAATTTCAACAATAATCACAGTGATTGCGATGCTTAAATTCAAGATTAGATTGCTAAAGATGACTATAATAGACTTTAAAACATGCAATGGACTGCACCTAAGTTTAATACAGAACCAAATTTGAAGACATAACCATTACTTAAGAATTATTGAACTTCGGGGTAGGAACATTTAGCCGAGCCAAGATTTCACAATAAAACGTTTGAAATCTCGGCGTATATCTCACCTCTAATATTACTAACTCTATCTGAAAATGTAAGCGTGTAAATATCACAAAATCCTCGTGACTCGCAACCAATCAGCCGTGAGAGATCGCGCTATTTCCTCCAAGTGCATCTATTCACCAACGTAATACGTTCACGCTCTTTCTATTACCCGTATGACATAATGGAATTCCCAACTGATTGGGCGTTTTCCTATAGGTAGCAAAAAATGACGATAAATCGCGATCAATCTATTTTACGTTGATCTAGAGATTTACCCCTAAACGCTATTGTAGCATGAACAATGGGCGCTTTTTGGGAGTGATGTAAATGGATTTGAGTTAATATTTTAGGTTATACTGTAGGTGTTTTATATGAAAATATTAATACTTATTATATATAAATATTTATACTTACACTAATAGAAGAATGTGTTGGTAAGATTCTGTAAGGCAAATAAGTACAATCTTCACATTATCTGTGAAAGTGCTGCGTTAAAAGAATTGAAATACGTAAGAAAAAGACTCACAATAACAATACACTTCTGACGCTTTTTTTTGTCTTGTGAAGACTTCCACATGACGTTACCGTTAGGTGTCACGGTGGATTGTCATGTTGGTAATTTGTAATCGGTCGGCTTCCGTTTATTGCAGGGACTAGGGTATCGTCTACGAAAGAAAGTCACTAAGAGAAACGAATTACTAGTTTATTTACCTACCTATAGATGCCTACCCAATCATGATTATGATCGTGTCAAGTTCATTACAAATGATGAAGAATAAATATTTTTTGATGACCGTGTTTTTTCAGAGACAGGTCACAAAGAGGTGGATGCGAGAAGCCGAAAATCAATCTAAGTGGCGTGCAATGGGAGAGGTCTATGTCCAACAGTGGAATGCGATAGGCTGATGATGATTATAATGATGATGAGGTAACAAAACAAATCATAGTTGGGGTGATTCTAACTGGACGTTATAACCCACTCCAACAACAACAGTGGTATTAATTTAACTCAAGACGAACTGAACAATAATCACAAGAACAACGTATTAGGGTTTTCAAACAAACATAAAAAAAACAAGTTCTATGTTTCTATGTAAATGCACTTTTTTTTTAAACTTCTTTCTATTCTTTCCATTCTATGTTTTTCTTTGATACCTAACATTATAACAAACTTAGTTACCTATGAACTAAATGTTAATTAACATTGCTATTTCATCCTTTAACCTGTGTTAAGTCCTTTCGTAACATTAAAAGTATAGAGAATATATTTTTTTCTATTTATAGACATTTTACATAACAGAGGTACTTAGAAGGAAAACCCCAACTAAACTGGGCACTGAAATGCACTTAAATGGGCTGTGGGTCAGACTATTATTAAAGATGTTCAGTGCATACGGACTAAGATGACCATAAACGTCATGACAGCTCTTTTGAACTCGAGTTTAAAAGAGCTATTATGCTGCTTAACATAAGTGTATTGCTACTGTAGTTACAAATAGTTTATACAACTATAAAATATAATGCAGCAGAGTTCAATATATGAAATGTAATAACCAGTGAGAGAGTGGCTCATTTCCTCTCTCCATCCAATATCCAAATAATTTCATCCTCGTTCTATCACTCACGATGGCACATGATTTAATTGTAAAATTTTGCTGGTGATGAATAGAAGTGTAAAAAGATTTTATATACTTTGTTTTTCGTGTCTTGAGTTGCGGTGGACCATTACGAAAGATCCTTTCATCCTTAACATAAAAACATTAATTAGGTATGTTCTATGTAAAAAATACTAGCATTTTGCAAACACTTTAACCTCTTAGGTACGGGATCTGTTTAGCACTGACAACGGCACCTATATCATACGTGACTGTGTGATTATTTTCAAAAACATAGTTGTTAAATTTAATTCTACATTTATATTAATACGTGAAGAAAAACCCTCTTTAAACAAATCTGGTGCATCGAGGATAATGAAAATAACAAAAAAGTGCAATTTGTAAAAAATAAGCATAAGATCAGGTAAAACGTTTTTAAATAGTTGTTTATGTTTATTTCTGAACACGCAAAAGCTCACTTTGAATGTTATCGGATCTTCTGAATTTGTATATAACGCAGGTGTTTGTTTACGATACTATTGATCTTGTTGAGTATTTCGCCGTAAGCACGTAGTATAAATTAAATTTATAAATTTTATTTGTCTTGGAATATTTATACGGGATCAAAATGATGAAGTACTGGAACAAGAAAGTAGCTGTTGTGACTGGAGCAGCACACGGGATAGGTGCTCAGATAGCTGAGGACTTAGCGAAGGCAGGTTTGATAGTGATTGGATTTGAACCAACTGAGGAAAAAGTTGATGAGATACTAATAAATCTGAATAAGTTGGGCAAAATAGAAGGACAACTCATCCCTTGTAAATGCGATATTTCTAAAGATCAAGAACTAAAACACGCTTTTGAAGGTATTGTAAAGGTTTACGGTGGTATTGATGTGCTAATAAATAATGCTGCTATAGGAAAAGAAGGGTTTATATGTACTGGTAACCTCAATGACTTCAAAAATATTATAGACACTAACATTTATGGTTTAATTGCATGCACGCATTTCGGGATTGAATCTATGATGAAAAAGAACGGTTTTGGACAAATTATTAATATTAACAGTATATGTGGTCATTATATGCCTCCGTTTGCTGAGCCCAAAATTAATTTGTATATAACATCAAAAAGGGTCATGACTGTTTTGAATACTCTTTTGAAAAATGAATTTAAGTCATTAAATCGAAAGATCAAGGTAACAAGTGTCTCTCCTGGCATCGTTCGTACAGGTATTTTCAAAACAGCGGGAATAGAATTTCTTGATGAAGATTTCTTTAACAAAAATCCTCATTTAACACCTAAAGATGTGTCAAATGTGGTATTAATGATTTTAGCTGCTCCTCGTGGGATTCAAGTCAATGAAGTGATATTCCACGCATTACATGAAATTTATTGAATTTTAAATAAGTTTAGAGGATGTTTAAACGTAAATAACTTGTCCATCTTAAATGTGGGTTCATAACCCATAAAAGTTATGGATCTTATACTCGTATACGAGTACACATTAAACTTTCTTATCTTAAATGTAAACTAATCTGCTTAAAATGCATTTACATAATAAACTTTTTCAAAATAAATTGAATTTTCACATTTACATTTGTTTTTATTCATGGCTTAGGAATCCATGTAGGATGAGTGTATATGGTTCAAATCACATAACTACATATAATTTCAACTAGTTTTATTACTTACTTTTTATCGAAATCAAATACTGTTTGTATTAATATTTTATGATTTTTTTCACTTTTTCACACAAAAAACTAGCCTAGAAGTCTATTTATAGCGATTTGTCCATCCAAAGATTGCCTGTAAGAAATTGCTTTTTAGCGCTAAGTCCGCCATTTGCACTCGTAACTGTTCAATAATTTGATGTAATCTTGTAAGAAACAAAACATTGGCGTACAGGTACATTCTACCAGTGACTTTACGTATTTGTGCATAATGGCAACTACCTACTATAATTAAATTATTACTATATACTATAAAATTATGACTAAAATCATGTGTGAAATGTGTAAGGTTATTTTATTATTATTATTCTCTTTATAACATAATATACATATTAATTACATTTTCAAATATAGTACAAAAGAAAAAAAAAACATAAAAAAAAGTAGACCACCGACAACGGGTACAAGGAACACACAGATGGTTAGGACTCCAAAGACACAAACATCCTCTGAATTGACTTCTGCATCAGATGAGTGAGATGCATGCAGTTAGCCTCTGAAGGTGTTATTCGAGGTTCTTGGCAATCAATCCGTGAGCAGATACGACTATCGGAACAATGATCGTCGAATCCACATTCCACATATCGACAATCTCGTGAGATAAATCCAAATATTTTATTTGTTTTTATTTTTCAACTTTCACGAGATTCTCGTCATGAGGAACGGCGATATCAACAATCATTGCGCGACGCTCTAATAGATCTATCACCACAATATCTGGCTTATTGGTAACAATAGTCTTGTCTGTGGTTACATATCGATCCTAATACAACATGGCCCGACCATTGTCGAGAACTGTCGGTCACATACCTGTGGTATGGCACCTCTAGATTCACAAGTTGGTATTTAACAAGCTGTTGACGTGCGAGCCTGGCTACTTGATTGTGCCTGTGCAAATATTCACCGTTAGCGCTACGAGAACAACCAGCAATATTATGCCTGATTGATTCCCCAGAACGGTGGCTTGCCCGACAGATGGCAACCGTACCATCTTTCAGAATATATTTCCGATAGTTATTCGTCATAATAGCTTCGACCATAATCGCACAAATAATACCTTCAGCTTCTCCAAAGAGATCACCATACCGTAGCCAAGTCGTAGATGTTTTTAAGTCTATATCGGACCCGTTTAGGGCCCGATAAAACCGACCATGGAGCTCTTTGCCCTTCCCTACTTCCCTGCGATCATTAATACTAAGTACTACAGGTTTGCGCCAATTCTCTTTAGCAGAAATTCTAATTCGATCTGAGTTCATCTAAGTATACCAAAGGAATACATCAGAACCGGCATGACCCAACCATTGCATGCTCGCATCTTGTTGCCACTTGATAAAAGACTTATTATTATTATAGACTGTCAAATATACATATATTTTAATGTATCTATAGTATTCTAAAGTCAGGGCAATTACTTAAAATGCTGTAGTGTAAACTTTAGCCATGAAGAATTTATTTGGTTTGATTAAGGGAATAACAGATTTATCTTTGTTGAGTTATATTAAATCGAGAATGATTTTGACATATGCAAATATTTTTAATTTTCGTAAAATGAATATCGAGAGAAAAAAATCTAAGTCAGTAATTTTAAAATCAAATTTATTTTTTAGAGAACATGCGTTTTTTAGAGAACTTATTTACTAGAGGTTATTTAAATTACAGTTAGCTTAAAAATAAATATCAAGTAAAAATAATAAACTTAAAAGATTAAGGAGTTCAAAATACTTGTTATTTAAAGTAAAGCATTTCAAAGGGTCGCGTTTCATTTTTCTTAAAGCTTAATTGACTTGACGAACAAAAAGGAACAGCAGTGCCTTTATTCAACTCTGTGAAGGACTTAATTAACTTCTTTTCTTTTTTGTCTTAATCTGATGACAACCAAGATCGTTTGCATTCGGTTTATGTATCTATTATTTTAATTAATTGGTTACAAAATGAGAATATTGTGTGTAAATGGTGTACAGAAATATAATATATTAAAATACTTAAGTAGGCAAATGTTCCTCATTGCTAATCGAGTTGTTCTAGTTTTTTGAGCCATTTATTTTTAAACAGAATTTTAAATTTACTCTTCTTTGTATGTCTTATTTGATGGGTGTAGTGCATGCCTGAGTTGCCGGCTGTAGTAGTTGGCACTTGGACATTATTGTTAAACTCATTTTGAAATTTCCTAGTACTGGTGCTGAGAAAAATGGACTATCCAAAATGTATTTGAAATAAGTTTTTTGTTATGGAATAGGGGGCAAACGAACAGACGGGTCACTTGATAGAAAGCGACTGCCAGGAACGCTTGCAACTCAAATTAGTATTCCTGAGTCCCTAAGTGATAAAAAAACTTATCTTAATGGCAACTCCGGTGTCCCTTTTAATGCCTTCGATATATGTACATATGTATCTCGGAAAGATTTCATTTTCTATAAAAGAAAGAGTTACACCTGTAAACAATATACTTAAAACCCTTATTGAACAAGCTTGCTATTTGAGCTCTTATTAACAGACTAATAGCTTATTAAGACTGAGTTAGCCTGTGACCACGGCCGGTGCAACCTGGTCGAAACGTCAGGCAAACCAGACGTATGTAATACCCTAAATAAGAGATCGCGTTAATTCCCGTTAAATAATATTAATTATCATGGAACGCGAAAGTTTAAAAGTTAGTAAAGTTGAAGGAGGTAAGGGATTTTAAAACAAAATGGATTATCAATATATGAGCTGAAAAAAGTGTGGTCCTCACATTTTGCATACTCACTTCTATCCGATCTATTCTTGTTTGACAGTGGCTGAATGGCCAGTATCTTCTTATTAAGAAAATAAAAGTTGTCAGAAACCTGCCAAAATATATTGAACGATGTCGATTTTAATATTATCAACACTATATAAAGCTAACGCAAATAAATTTCAGTTTGCGTGAATTTACTATTGACTTTGTTGACATATAATGCCTACAACTTCTCAACTAGCATATAAAGTGAGATCTGAAGACGCTAGGTTTACATATGAATCACCAAGTGTAGACAAATTACATAATAAAAATATAGAATCGATTGATGAAGACGCTCGCATAGAATGGAGCAATTTAATATTTTTACCGTTTCATCCAGTGTTTCAAAAGTTAGTTCTTATTTGTGTAATAGTCAAGACTTACGTGGTGAGTATTAATTTGGGTTTTCAAGTATACCAGCATTCGATATTATTACATTTTCTAGTCAAAGAGATGGCTTGATCACGCCTAGTAATAGAGGTCGCTGTCACTAATATCTATGTACTTTAAGATGTGCTTTAGTCTGATCTTTTACCTTTATTCATAGACTGTCATTTAGATACGCCACGAACGGGGTTATGTGGGGCGATAGTAATATACATGAAATATAATGTTATCAAAAACCTTGTAATAACATATAGAGTTTGATTGTCTTTCTGTCCGAACTACGTGAATGTAGTGATTACACGTGCTATAACAATAGGCAATGAAAGGTTATTGACAAGTTACACTCGAACATTTTACAAACCTTTAGTGATGCGGTTGTAATTGACAGAAGAACGACTACACTTTCCACTCACGGTGCACAGGACCACTGAAATATGGAAGCGGGGGCATCGAGCGACATATTACAACGTTGCAAATGTATGCCTGGAGTGGCGGTAGCAGTGCTAAAATCTAAAGTAATACGGCGCGATGACGTAGCTTGAAGAAATTGGTATAAGCCGCACCCGTTTATACAGAGTGGTACAACTTTTTTGTACCACTCTGTATAAACGGTACATATTTTTTGCTGACATTGTGTCAATTAGCGTTATCAAATTTTACGTGTTATAGCGTTGCTCCGCTCAAAGTGTTAAATAAACATCTCAATATACGTGACAACAAGTTATAGTTCCAACCAAAACCGTCAACTGAGACCGCGGACTATGTATTAAGCATGCTTTATGGTATACTGAGTGGTGACATTTTTGCTTGTTTACTAGACCTGTCAAAAGATTTTGATCTGGTTTCTTATGATGTAATATGGGATAAGGTAGCGTAGGGGACAATCGCCACAAACCATTAACATTTTAAAGTTCTGGTATGGAAACATCAGTTACGCAGGCGATATGGTGCTCCTGAGTGCTTCAATCTGCGGAAATATAAAACTTGTCCAGGTATGTCAAAGTTACGCCAAAAAATGGTTTTTGATGGTTTGATTTAAAATCCCAAGAAATCGGAGGGCTTGGCGTTTGACGCTGGTGGTAGAAAAACCGACAATGTACCTCCCGTGATCCTCATCGGCATGACTTTACGGCTTTACGGAGAGTTTATAGCTTCTAATATCTTGGCCACATATTAACCCAGGGGTTAGGAGTCCGGAGTTAGGAGTCCAGGACGATTCAGACATTGAGCGAGAACGGAGAGCGTTGTAAAGATCGAACATGCTGGCCCGCAAGTACGCACGGTGCTTTCTTAATGTGAAAATCATACTGTTCCTTGAATATTGCCATTACTGCCATCCTGGCTGGTAAGGCGGGCTGGGGCGCAGTGGTCACTTTCTGTGAAGTTGTAATGCTCCAGAAAGAGACCGCTGAACGGGATCGGGAGAGAGCCGATCGCTATCGTAGAGGACGTCGGCGGTTCAGCTGTCGACGTGGCCGTAGGCTGCCAGAGGGCCCCTTCCTTTGGTGACAGATTAACTGTTGTGGTAGGCGATAGGATGGCAGCCTGGTTGCAAAAATGCGATCGGTCCGCAACATATAATAAGGATTGGGCCGATAGGCGGAGGAAGCCCGCAGCTTCCCAGGGATAGGGCTTTACCAGGCGCGGCGTCGATCCTATATCTCCAAGAAGCTCGAGATCCGAACGGATTTTCCACCCTGTCAACAAAGAAAAAGGCCAGGCTAGATTCATTCATAAATAAATAAAAATGCGTTCAGGATTCTGATGGGGCTGCCTCGCTACTGTATCGCATTGTTTGCAGACGCACACGAAGACTGCTTTTTCGGTGTGAATATGTGTGCGTCCCTGGTGCGCAGGGCTCGAGGCAACACTAACAGCATCCTACGCATGATCCAGTAGGCTAGATTGTACGTATGTGAGTCGCTGCTGTTCTGTCTCTGTCGGGATAGCACAGCGGTGACCCACATATTACAGAATTAGATTTATATAACTACTAACATAGGCGTAAGTATTACTAACACTGATGAGTGAGGTCATTCGAATAAATAAATTCTGAAAAAAATTGTGCATTAATTGCAGTTTGTTTAAAATTTATTTTGTGTGTGTGGTGATATTTCCGTTGCTCTTTTTTGGAAAATTCTATCTGAATTTTCCAAAAAAGAGCAACGGAAAGCTAAAACCTTAATATTATACTATTGATTCTAAATTGCCTCAATATAATGTTGTACCTTTATAATTATTTGGTTTCTCTGTTAGTAAATGATAGTCGACTGAAATGCTTACAACATACGTATTTTCTTACAGTATAGAGGGAAAATAAGCAAACGGGCCTCATGGTAGTTAGTGACTACCAACGTCCATGGACACCTGCAACTGTAGTCACAATTGCGTTTCTGCCTTTAAATGCTCAGAATTTGGGGAAGGGGTTCGGGTTTTCAATTTACTCACTCACTAGGTGAAAAGCAACATAATACAATGTCTCTTAAGTTGGATGTGTTTTAGAGCGTTTGTCCCCTTTTTTATGTTAGAGGGGGCAGACGAGCAGACGGATCACCTGATGGAAAGTGACCATTGCCGTCTATGAACGTCTGCAACTCAGGAGTCACAAACGCGGCCGTTGCCAGCTTTTTACGAAGGAGTACGCTCTTTTCTTGAAGGTTTGAAGGTCGTATGGTCCAGAAATACTATCAAAAAAGAACACCGATTTTTTGTGAGGTCGCCACTCCAGGTCATCACTCCGGTCGATCCATATGTGCCGAATTGTGGCTCTGCCACGGGTCATCCGTATACTATATATTTGTTGTAATCATGAATAAAGTATTAAATGAGTAGGTTTATAGTTATATTTTTCTTTTTATAGGGCCCTTTACAGTCAGTGGACCCCTATGTTCGCTGTTGGACTGTGGATAAAAATCACGATTTCCTTTTAAATTTATTTATTGTTTTGTATTCGTATTTGGCCGATGCAGTTTACGGCATTGACACGCTTCTCCATATTATTCACAGGTAATCTTTGAACTTTCAATTTTATCGGTAAGTAGTTTTCGCTGTAATTATTAGATTTTTCGATATTCGATTATAAACACACAAAGTGCATAAATACATGTTAAAAAAATGTATGTGTGTTTTACTGTGTTGAGCATTTCATTCAGGTTAAAGTATGGCGTAATTACTTTAAATAATACCCTATCTATACTAATATTATAAAGCTGAAGAGTTTGTTTGTTTGTTTGTTTGTTTGTTTGAACGCGCTAATCTCAGGAACTACTGGTCCGATTTAAAAAATTCTTTCAGTGTTAGATAGCCCATTTATCGAGGAAGGCTATAGGCTATATATCATCACGCTTAGACCAATAGGAGCGGAGCACCAATGAAGAATGTTTCAAAAACGGAGAAAATTTATTACTATTGAGAGACGCAGACGAAGTTGCGCGGGTCAGCTAGTCAGATATAAACTCGTCAGATTACGCAGTCTTCAAACATATTATTCTTTAAAATGCAGGGACAGATTTAAACTTGGGACAATTTTTTACATAAGAATATACAGGTTACAACTGTCATACAAAAATGTTTGTTTATAAATATTCACGTGTATCGGGCATCTGTATGTTCCATAAAACCTTTTCTCAATTAGAAAATCGGGGGAAAAATAGCAATACTATGGATATCATAAAATATAACCGACCAAACTTAGTGCTAATTAATAAAACATGGTGTACTATTTTAGGCAAGTGACCGATAAAGCTATGAGACGTGAATACATGCCAAAGTCAGCATTTCTTCTTTTACTCGACATACTCTCTCTTATCCCATTTTTCCGGCTAGTTACACAAGATGCTGAATGTAATGAACGTACTCAATTATATCCAAACCTGTTAACATACAATGAATTTCTAATGTAAGTATTTTCCTTCTTTCTTTATTTGGTCGTTTCCTAAAACGACTAGAACTTTTCGAATAACAATTTGCCCTTCTATGAATTATTTCAGCGACGCAATAGAGGGTATAAAGGTTGATTTAGATGGGATTGCTAGGTAGAAAATATACAGATAGTTACAGTCGTTGATAATAATTGACTGAATGCTCCAGCTCTGATTGAAGCTGAAGCATAATACATCTTTAGTTCATGTTCTGTTTGTTTATCGAATCTAGCTGAAAAGCAATTGGTTATTTAATCTTTAATAATTCAATTCTAATACCATGTACCATAAATTAGCTTCTAATTAATTAAGATGATCCTTACAATATTGCTTAAGGCACCTATTGCCTCTTTGTCTCGGGTCTCTGGGTCCGTCTGCCGATACGTTGATCAAAGATGAAATCTATTGTTGCACAAAATTTCATTAGGTCAGGGTCCAGCAGCTTAAAGATGAAGAAATGGATTGTTTTTTATCATTTATTATTTCTTACAGTATTTACAGAGTATGGGAATACTATAAACTAACATCCACTCACTCTTACCCAAAGTTAATTGGAGGATTCGTTATAATTATGTACATAACTGTAAACTTTCTCACTGTTTTTTGGATACTACTTACTTATGAAGGTCTATGTTCAAATTGTGGGCCATTTTTGCCGGAACACGATTGGCGAACCTACGTAATGCATAAGGTTACAACTTTTTAATGAATTTTATAAGCTTTTTATAAGCTTTTTAATAAATTGTTAGTTTCATAATTGAACTAAAATGCCTAGCAAACAGCATGAGCTCGTACCATGCAATTTTGTAAAACTTTTTCAAGAAGAAAAGTGAAGACCTGTTCCGCTCTGCTAAACCGGGCATAATTTTCCTAGGTTTCAACCATTTTTTCCCCGTGAAACCAAATGACACCCCCACTGGTGTCATGGGGAATCACCTATTCCCCATAGCACCCCTGGTGGTGTCAGGAGGAATGGTCTTAATCACCATGACAGCCCCAGTGGTATCACGGGGAATTAGGATATTCCCTGTGATACCATCGAGTATAAGTGATGCGAGTTTTGCGTGCTCCAACTGGGTAGAACCATACTGCTTAAAAGCTATACCTAATTATATGGAATTAAGGAATAAAGCTTGGAATTAATGGCTTTTTAGAATTATCTAAGGTAATTCAAAGCTAGGCTAACTATAAAGTTCTAATACGCCTATTTAAACTTCTTATGTCTAAATATAGTTTTTAATTAATATCCTTATCCGTCACATAATGACACCATATTGTTCTTGCTTCTGTTCATTATTTCCCAGTGAGACTACCAAATGATACCCTCCAGGGGTGTCATGTGGAATCACCTATTCTTAAAAAAGACACCGTACAATGTCGCTAAAGGATTGCATTCAAAATTAATCAAAGGCATAAAAAAAGCTATAGTTAATTTGAACCGCTCTCTTAATGTTTTAAATAAATGTATAATAATGTTAAAATGTGTATTAGATTAGAATCGCTATGTTATAGCAGAAAGAAAAATCAAATTATAAATGATGAATTCATAATGGACGTTCAAATGCAACTGATTAATGAGGACATAACTCAATAGATATGTTGGGCCAACATCAAGCGTTAAATGATCTGTCAGATATTTAGCGATAATATTATATTTTTAGCCAATATCATTCTTATTTGTTTTATATTACGCTTATATATAAGCTATTATACTTTCTTTTACTATTTATCTTATTTATTTATTATAATATACTATCTTTTACTATATTTAGGTATTTACTTGATCTTAAGTTGACAGACAACAAATAATTAGGTACCATTAAAAACATAAATGTGGTTCTTAAACGTACAGAGCCTTACAAATAAAATAATTTATTGTAGTCTAAAAATTCTTGATGTATCTCCAATATTTCTATTGTCTCTGGATCAGGAAATTATTTTGAGCATAATGTAATTCTGTTAAATTGCCTTAAAAGTAATCTTCATATGGCTACAATTCTATTTTTTACTTATTCCTACTAAGCACCATCAATGCTCCTGTCATAATTCCAACATTTATTTTTTTTGAGCATCAAAAAGAACAAAATAACCAATTGGCACGCACCAATTCTCATTTTATCTATATTTTTAATATCTACAACTTTCACGTTATACATATCTTCGCATAAAGTCGTAGAAAATTTATAATGGCGAAAAACTACGTTTTGCAACTTTAACAGCAAATTACAAAATTATGGCACGGTCTCAGATATTGCATTTAAGTTATATTATCATGATGTACCATCATGATCAAAATACGTCGAAATATTTCGGTTGGCATTTTTTTTAAACACGTATGTAGTCGACTCCTTTTCCTGGTATATATCTGTTTACGTGTGGATCTCCTTTTCTTCCCTAGCCGACGCCAATGGTGCCGTTACCGGTACTTCTACTTTATTCAGTTGAGGATTGCTGACGATAAAAATCTGCTTTGGCACTATAAAAATTATTATGTTTTCAGGTGAATAAATCTCCAGAGGAATATCCAATTTATAGCTATGCAGTTTCTTTTGTTTTTTCACACGGATTAAGAAGAGTACTAGATAACATTTTACCTTCTACAATTTTAGAGTTCCTGTTGACATGTCTGTTGATGATAGCTGGTTATATCGTGCTAACTATATTTGTTTTGCCCAAAGCTTTTAGTGAATCTGTGTTAAGATTGAAAAATGTTTGTTCTAAATATCCATCAGTTAAAAAAATAATAGAGGAAACCAAGAGGAGAAATCCTTCACATAAGGCTTATCAACATGTTGAAACATACTATACGACGATGTGGCGGAGACGTAGTGGTATTGTTCATATGCCCGATATAATGGAAGATATGCCGAGGTACTTAAGAGTTTCCATCAAACAAGATTTATTTTGGCCCTTATTTCATCACAGTCCTACATTGAGAAGAAGGTCTTGTGCTTTCAAAAGATTTCTATTCGAATGTGTACATATAAGTTATAAGTTGCCTGGTGAGAGATTTTATGCAGGATCGCAGTGTCTCAGCAATTTATATTACGTGAAATCGGGTGTGGTTCAATTAATTTCTGCTGATGATTTAACAACTCCAATTCTATCTGTTACAAGTGGCACCATATTTGGTGACATAAACTTTTTGATACCTCATCCGAAAAGAAAAATTACTATTCGTTGCCTTACTTATTGCGAAGTATTGTTTCTAACACAAGCTGATTTATTAAGAGCCCTTTATAAATTTCCAGAAGATCGAAAGGCTATATTACAATTATACAAAGACAAAATTAATCACGCAAAAAAGTTGATTGCTTGCAAAGAGCAAATGAAAGATTTAGACAGAAGTGAAGCTGAGGGTATTGGTTGGATTAAGTCGCGTTGGTGGCAAATCTTTGATGTTATTAGCACTTGGAAGAAAAAATCTCTCCAATTAGAAATTCACCAACTCAATGCTAGCTGTGAGCTCCCACCCGAAACCTCTAACTACCATTGTGCCAAATATCTAGGACAGCTAGTATTATGCACTGATGGGCAACTTCAAACGAAGTCTATGTTCGTTAATTATCAATTTCCATGGATTCTATCACCGTACTCTGTTTTCGGCTCAATATGGAAGAAACTTGTCATCTGTACCGTGTTCGTTACATTATTGATAATACCACATTACATTATTACAAGAAGTCATTCACCAATTATTTATTTTATTTTGTTGTGGATTGATTTCGTTTACATCGCAGATTTGGGTGTATCACTCTTAACAGCGGCGAGGATACAAGAACATGAAACACCGACTTTTGGCACTATTATGTTAGAACGTTGTAAGAATTTTACTTTTGTAATTGATATAATATCAACAGTTTGGATACAAGATATTTTGAAAGCTATCAACGTGCAATCATTGCATTATATAGTACAATTCAACAGATTGCTCAAGGTTTATGTTCTTTTTTCGTCACATTACATAAAATGGGATATTAACAAAAGCCCTATAGGAGCCGTGTGCCGTAGCATTATACTAGTCAATATCTGTTTTATAATAATAACAAGTTATTTGGTTTATGAGCTAACCCGCTTTTATCCAAAATTGACGTTTACTTACTTTTTTGGTGACAATATTGAACAAGCTGAAAACCTGCAGCCTATTGTCGGAGTAATTGTACCGTGGACCTTTCAGTTCATATTTTCTTTACATTGGCCAATGACGAATATTGACATTGACTTGGCCATTCTAGTTAGCTATATAGCATATATTGTCTTTGCATATTGTAAAGCTAAATTTCTAGCGTACTTATATTTAAGATATCGAGATGCCACAGACTATCAATACTTTGTTGTAAATTTAAAGAAATATTATCATACATATGGTATCCAAAAAGATTTATTAAAGCGACTTGAAAAGTATCTTGTGTGTCACTACAAGTACTATAAAGGATTAAATGTTATGGACCGAGATTCGTTCAAACACGAACCATATGAGATTTATTGGAAGGTACAAGGTGAAGTTGCTCAGAAAATAATTGGTGAATCAAAAATGTTTACATACGCAGATCCATCCTTTATAAGAGAATTAGCTTGTGCATCGAAATATGTAATACTGCCAAAAACGGCTAGTATAAATTTAATTGGGTCTCAATGCGAGAATGTCACCTGGGTCGTACATGTGAGTTATTTGAGTATCTTTTTTTCAAATAATATTAAAAGTAGTTTGTTTTAAAATTTTACAATGAAAATGTATCGTAGGTATAACAGTTCTCCTAAAGCTTTTTTCTTTGCAGTTTTTACTAGTACAGTCACGAGCAATGAAATGTATACATGAACAGAACTTCAAATAAATGTTTACTCAAAAAAAAATCAAAGACAAATAATCACTAAAACCATACATAATAATATAAGAAATCAATAATATACACATTTTTGACAAAAATATTTTCACGAATAGTTTGTAATGTGTTCCGCAAAAGTTAAACAAAACAATTTTATTACATTGTAAACAATTACGACTGTGATTTTTGTCATTCATATGTATGCACTTATACAACTGTAGCAGTTATCAAATGTGTATCAATTTCAATAAACATTATACACAATCTAGTTTTCAATGTAATTTAAACATTCATGTTATGTGTTTTATTAATGTTATGAAGGTAGGAAGGGCGCTGTGGAGGGCGATAGCGGTGACTGTTTTTATTCGGTTATGATTTTCCGATCTACCCTTCTTTTCTGTGCGGAAATCTAATTCGATACCATCAACCGGTGGTGTATCGGACTCGAACTGATTTAAAACCACACGTCATCTGAGGTACCAGGTGTTCCCTAGGAAGGAAATCCCTGTACACTGACAGACCCCGCACTATCTACGGTGTACATGACCCTCTCGTGTGTGGGAACATTCTACTCTATAAAAGGCACGCGTGTGAAAAAAAAATCACACGAAAATCTCACACCTTAAAGGTTTTATGTTAATTCAAAGTATCTATTACTATTAAACGGCGATTTCATACTATAACTCCTATTATAACTCTTTGAGTGTGTAGTATACACTAATAATGTTTTATTTGCTTTACTACGAAGAAAAAAAATACCAAATTATAACCAGTTTGAAGATTATATAGTTTTGAAGACAATATAAGATATTTATGTGACGGATTAATAATACGGAGTGTTATTCATCCCGCAGGTGTCATAAGAGCCGCCTAAGGTAGCAAACCAGGACCATAGCACAGCAAAAAGAAGGATAACTTGGAACCAACCCTATACTAACCTGTCTGGCTAGCGTGGTATAGTAGGCTAAAACTTCCTTTCCAAGGAGGGGCCTATGTCCAGCAGTGGACTAATGAAGGCTGTTGTTGATCATTAAATGTTATTATATATTTGCAAATATGTTAACGTTTACATATCAATGCACGTGACTGTACTTCTAAAGGTTCTTTATAATAGCCATAGTGTTGCAATGACACATTATCTATATAATGTTATTTTTGAAATTTTAGGGTTATGTTAAATCGGACGCCTATGGACCGAATGGTGAACTGACAACAAAATTCTATGAACCTGGTGAAATGTTATCCGTTAATTCGTTATTTGGAAAGTTAGCTCTCAGAAGTTACACGTGTTACACTGACTGCGAAGTAAGTATTATGAAAAATATTGACCAACTTTATAATTTTAGCTTACAGCCCTTGTTATACCTAGTTTAAAATTATTGTAAGGTACCCAAATTATAAAAGTCTACGACAAAGTTAAATATAATCAGATTAAATTCAGCAAGGCGCTATATGATAGTATATTGAACTGAACCTGCTCAAAGTTAATGTCAAAATAAAATTGATTGGAAAACAGCTATGCTAAAGGATTCTGAATAATTATAATTTATGCTCCAAATTTTGACAAATATTAAACTCAAGTGTTTTCTTCGCTAGACAAATACACACAAATTATATGGACTATTCATAATATGTACCTAAAAATTTATACGGATCCCTCCGACGGTGCGTGTGGGCGAGTCCGACACGCACTTCTGTAGATTTCTTGAATACTTCGAAACATGTGTTTTGACACCCGTTGGTACGGATTCCCATGCAAAAATGGGCATTGTTTAATACTTAAACATAGTAGGTTTTGAAATCTGACCCTACAAAACTTAGGACTCCTTCTATCCCTTGTCATATAATGTCACACTTCACCGACCTCCTCCCTTAATGTGCTATATTTATGAACTATTAATAGGTAGAGCGTACTCCTACCTAAAAGGCCGGTAACGCGTTTCTGACTCCTGAGTTGCGCGGGCGGTTGTTCATGGGCGGCGATGGTTACTTTTTATCAGGTGACCCGTCTCCTCGTCTGCCCCCTCTAACATAACAAAAGGTAGAGATTATGAAGAAATGACATTTATGATATAATATATTATGTAGGTTTTTTGGGCCTACGGCCTCATTTATCTATATACTCGTATTCCAGTTTCCTGTGATGTTTACCGTTCTCTAACTTCCATTAAATAGCCAGGAACGAGACTGATTGCCTTGTCGCTCACCTTTAAACCCGATGTATTGTTTAGGTTCTATTCGTAACTATGCAAGAGTTTATCCAAATTTATAAACGATCCCCATTGGAATGGTACTTTTTGAAAAGAACCATAAAAGAGTTTCGTTCAAAAATTGAGGAGGCTTTTGAAGAACAAATCAGTTATTACCAGGAGGTAAATATATTGTATTTCCTAGCCTATCGGCTCACCTTTGTATAGCAATGTTTAATGTTTTGTTTAGTTTAGTGTTTCTTTATTATATTTTTTATCATTCATAACATATATTATTCATAACGTTTATTCATCTCGACAACTCACACAGTCTTTAACTAAAATGATGAAAAATTTATTATAAAAGTAGAATATAGTTCAAATGTAGACTATTTTAAAAATATGTATAATAGTCTGAAAATTGTAGAAGCTGTGTAAATATTACCTATAAAAATTTAGTAGATTTCGCCTAAATCTAGCTTAGTCTGTATTTGCTGTTGGTAAATATTTACCTATCCTAAACTCAAATATTAATTACAAAAATTAATTTTGAACTTTTTTCAAGCATAGGATATTTAGACTTCTTGGTTAAACTAATAATATATGTTGCTATTTAACAGAATCTAGATAAATTAAACTTTAAAAAGACAGAATACAACACCGACTGCATAAAATGAAGTATAATCAATACCATAAATATGTACTCGTATGTTATACATAACATAATATACACAACAGTCCATGTGTGTTGTGACCAAAAGTTAAAATTGTTGATAAAATTGGTTCAAATTAAATTTTTCAAGGATATAAATCTATTATTATTATTATTTATGTCAGTTGAAATATATGTTAAGATTTGCGAATAAGAGTCATTAAGAAATAGAATTCATATTGATATCAAAATAAGATATATACATAGACGCGTACACTATGTTATCCTGCATTGTGTATGACCTATTGCCTTTGAGGTCGATAGACAGAGTTATCGTTCATCTAGCAGAAGCAGGCTCAAGATGGTGGTGGTTTCATGAGAAGGGGCGGTACACCTAGCAGGGTCAGCTGTACCTTGGACGGACGAGTATTTTAGGGCTCATAGGATTACCTTTTGAGAGTAGACCTTAGGCCCCGGTAATGAGGATTCCAAGAGAAGAAGATGTGAAAACTGTAAAGAGGTTAACTTATCACCTGACCAGGATTCCAATTTTCAGGATTTCCAATTGTTACAACAATCTTCATTTATCCTGTCTGTCCGGACACTAAGAACAGCCAGACTCAGAACGATAATTAACCCTTTTAAAATTAAGTTATTAATATATTTATTTTGTAGTATCAAATCAGACATAACATCTCAGAATCAGTAATGAAAGTTACGAAGACCTCTCTAAACGAAATGAATCAGCCACCAGATCCTCACTCATTACTCAGAGATGCCAAGGATTGGAAAGAACCAGAGTCTAAGTAAGTATTAACAGTTCCGCCATTATAATCTATACGCCACCTATCAAGTCTAATTAAGAACTTTATCACTACAAAGACCAATCCAAAACTGCGATATTCCTCTAAAATTTCAAAGAAGAATCCATCAGTAACAGAGCCACCTGTAACCTGGCCCAACACTGCATTAACTGTGATACGACCTTCCAAGCTTCAAGAAAAGAACGCAATCCTTCCTAAAAGGCTGGCAACACGCTTGTGACTACTGGGTTGCAGGCCTTCATGGCCGGCGGTTGTCACTTTCCATCAGGTGACTCGTCTGCTCGTTTGCCCCCTCTTCCATAAAAAAGTACCCGTTTAAAAACCCACAAACTTTTTTATTCAAATTTATACAGCTGTTTAGAAACAAATAACGTATATATAACAATTAAACCTACACTTATAAAACTGAAACGTTTCTCTTTTTTTTTTAAACGCCCGCACTAGGAACATATCCTGTGTCGCGGGGGTCTTTACAAATATACATGAAACGGACACGGAACGGACGAACGATAATTTGTGGATCCCACAAAGTCGTCCCATGTGGGATCGAACCCACAAAGCGGAATGGCGACCTCTTAGGCTACATCCATCCGTCCATCATTTTTCTGAACACATTTATTGCTGGAACTACAGTCGGATTTCAAAAAATCTTATTTAGTTTTCTAATTATCAATGACGTATTAGAAGCGGAACAGAAACCATAAAACGTGCAAAAAGCTACTACTACTAAAACTAAGTAACAGTTGTTACAAAATATTAACTGGCAAAAAATAAGAAATTAAATAGGTACATTACAACACACATAAAATGCAAAAAAACTGCAATTATATTTAAAGTACAATAGAATTTTTAATTCAGTTATTGTTCGAATATTGACTATTAATGTTTTCAAGTAATTGTGCCACTGTGGTCAATTACAGAAAGAATTAAATTGTTTTTTGAAGTTTTACATAAAAATATTATTTGTATTTCAAATAATTATTTTCCAGGTTTATGCAGACATGGTTATTATGTAGAGCAATCATCGTCTGTGTTTCAATAACAAATGCGTCCTTAAAAGGTTTGATTTTAATATTTTCATCTTGTACATATTCTTTTTAAGTGCTTTTAAAAATAGGAATGTGTGTTTCTTGACCTTGAATGCTTTAAACATTAAAGATATCGGCACGAAATTTTACATACATTTCGTCAAGGTTAGGGAAAAGAGTCTACCGTCACCGAAGAAAATTACAGTTGCCTAGGAATATCTGAGTTGATCCACAAATACCATAGTAACTTAGCGCAACCGTTGGTGAAACCTGTTCATAAATTCGAATGTGAATTTGTTTTTTATGCAGAATCACGATCAAACTTGCATGGATAGTTTAAAAGCCTATACTGGGTGAACACTAAAATTCAATTTAATAAAAGACAACTAGATGGCGTTAGTAGTTTTTATTACTAGAAGTGATGGCAAAAATATAATCGTGGCATTGGGGGCCAATGGGCACAGGCCCCTTATGGTAAAGACGGTACTTATTATAAATGTTATTATTTTAATAATATAGTACACGAAAACAAGTAGTAAAAGTAAGTAACAATATTACTATTGAGAATGAAACGGTGATAGAAAAAAAACACAACTACGCAAAATATATCCGTACTCATTTTAGTAAATTAGTAAAACTACACTTAACATCAAAACTTATAATATTTATTTAAAATAATAAAATATATTTAGTGTTATAGTTAGTGAAAGGAAAGCTCGAAGAAATTTAAGATAAAATATATATTAAAGCAAAGCCAACTAGTGGGACTAAAATCTATCATGTAACTATAATGAGTAAATGAAATCTGTAAGATGAAGATGGAACCAGAAAGATTTGATTATTATCGATTCTTTATTTTCTATCTTTTCGAAACGAAATTTTGTATAATATGCATGCGTTTCTGCAGCCCATCGTACGTCATGCTTTCACGGTTTAACTACTGAAAAAATGACCATAAAAGTTTGCATTCAATGTTCGTAATAAACACTATCTAATAATAATCACCAAGCTTTTCATTTATCACAAAAACAAAATAAAAGCATTTAAGTGAAAAAACACCTCTGGAGAGATAATTGCATTTATCGATCAAACCTTGCTTTGTATACAGCTTTATGTAAAACTTTGTTTAGTATGCTAATACTGAGATGCCGAACCTACCTGTGTTAGATATTCTCTACTATAAATAAGAATGCCTTTTATAGCATTTATCGTATTTTTACAGGTGGAATTGGTGCTCAAGCCATGTGGTCTTTTGAAATTATTGGCTCATTATGCGATTGCATTGCTTGGATTGACATTATTTTAAAGATATTTGTGAGTCTGAAATTTTCTTGAAATAATTAATAATAACAATATATATGTACATCCCGCGAAAGCTTGGGGGTCGCGGACTATTAAATATCAAGACCCTACATAATCGCGAGATATGCAATCTCAGAGAATATTTTCTACATACCGATGTGGGAGTGCATCGCAATGCAGTTGCAGTGGATACCGACTTCACCCCGCTCGCTCTGGCTGAAGACATTTGGCGCAGACCTGTAGTACTTAGTGTTAATGATCGCAGGGAAGTATGGAAGGGCAAAGAGCTCCATGGTCGGTTTTATCGGGCCCTAACAGGTCCGATATGGATTTAAAAGCATCTACGACTTGGCTACGGTATTTTGATCTCTTCGGAGAAACTGAAAGTTTTGTTTATGCGATTATGGACGAAGTTATCATGACGAATAACTATCGGAAATATATCCTGAAAGATGGTACGGTTGACATCTGTCGGGCATGCCACCGTCCTGGCAAATCAATCAGGCATATTATTTCTGGTTGTTCTCGTCTTGCTAACGGAGAATATTTGCACAGGCACAAACAAGCAGCCAGGATCGTACACCAACAGCTTGCCCTTAAATACCATCTTGTGAATCTAGAGGTGCCATACTACAGGTATGTGCCCGACCCAGTTCTCGAGAATGGTTGGGCCACGTTGTATTGGGATCGATCTATTATCACTGACAGGACTATTGTTGCCAATAAGCCTGATATTGTGCTGATAGATCGATTAGAGCGCCGCGCAATGATTGTTGATATCGCCGTTCCTCATGACGAGAATCTCGTGAAAGTTGAAAAAGAAAAACAAATCAAATATTTAGATTTATCTCACGAGATTGTCGATATGTGGAATGTTGATTCAGTGATCATTGTTCCGATAGTCGTATCTGCTCACGGATTGCTAGCCAAGAGCCTCGACCAACACTTTAAGAGGCTCACGTTGGACGGCTGGATCAAGGGTCTGATGCAGAAGGCAGTCCTCCTTGACACGGCTCGTATAGTGAGGAGGTTCCTATCTTTGGAGTCCTAACCACCGGTGTCTTGATCCCTGTACCCGATGTCGGTGGTCTACTATTTTTTATATTTATTAAATGTATTTTTTTTATATTTTTTTATAAAGTGTATGTTTAAAAATGTAAATAATATGTATATAAAGTAAATAAAGAGAATAGTAATAAAGCTTTATTGGAAACTAGAACAAAGGAAACAGTAACATTTTATGCGAATGTGTCTGCATTAGTTAAAAGAACTGTGTCGCAGACATTAACGCCACCTCCGGCCTGGGGCCGTCAGAGTTCCATTAATAACCGTATAAAATTAACAAAATAAAACTAAACCAAATCAGATCATAAATTATAAGTAAGTCTGTGTGTGTGTGTGTGTGTGTGAGTGTGTGTTACTGAGAATTTCATTTCAGTTCTAGTTTTCTTCTGAATAAGGATTATAAAAAATAATTGAATAAATGAAGAAGTGTATTTTTTTCTTTGATAACATTATTATAACAGTACAAATAAAATGTATCAAAGGTATTAAAAATAATTAGGGGTACGAGTACAAGACGACTCAGACGCCCACGCCCAGAATGACCTCCGTCCTCCATACACGACGGCTTTCACACACGAGGAGGTCATGCCGTAGATGGCCCGGGGTACGTCGGGGTTCCAGGGATTTCCTTTCTAGGATACACCTGGTTCCTCGGCTACTGGTACTGAGATGGCGTGCAGTTTTTAGTCAATTAGAGTCCGACATAACCACCGGTGGGTAGTATCCGAGTATATTTAAACTTAGATAGAAAATCATTGGGTGTTAAAAGGGTTAATTTATTGCGCGTGTTGGTTTGAAAAAAGTTTGTTGATTTAAATTTTTTAATAGCACAGAATATTTAATTATATTCAGTGCAGATTTGATTCTGTTTATTTCACAATAAGAAACTTTAAATTGTAACTCACAAAATACTAGGTTTGATATTAGTGTAACCCATTTGCATTTCTTTTAGAACATTCTATTTGGTAAACGTAATTTATTAGTTTGTTAAAAAAATAAGGAGTGTTTATTTTAGCCAGTACCTTGATGTACTCGTATACTTCTGAGAACCTAATGTTTACTAATCACAATTTAAGTGCACCGCTAAACTGTTTTGCAGATTAAGTAAAAATTTGAATATTTTGTGCAAATATAATTTACTTCGGAGGTCCTTTAGCTATTGAGTCGTTTGACAGAGTTAAGAAAAAACAGCAAGAAATGCTTTGGTTGTTCATTATGAATGACGAGGAGGTTTTTGTCGTATAGCCAAGCATCCATAACGGTTTTTAGTTTCTTAAATGTATTGATGAATTAATTTTTAGACGAAAATAATTACAAGAGGCACGATTTCAGTGTCATTTGTTCAAAAATATAGTAGCATTGCCCAATTACTTCCCGTGAAGTTATATACTAAAGTAGATTAGGTTGGTATAACAGCTGTAAGGTACTTGTATACTCGTATATAATTATATCTCAAGAGACTTAAATGTATTGTTTTACTGTAGTTATAAGACATTCAATAATTATTAAACTGTCAGTGATACAGAAATTTATCAAGTGTGTTTTTTTAATTATAAAACTCGGATTTATGAAGTCGACATTGTGATCACGCTTATGTTAAAAAAATTACTAGATTGCGTTCTTAAAAACACTAATCTCGACTCATATTCAATTAAAATATATTTTTTATTACTTTTAGATAAGATATCATGACAGTCGCGGTTTACTAATAAGAGGCAAAGGAAAGTGTTTGTTAAATTATTTAACCAAAGGTTTCCTACTGGATATCATAGGTGTTCTACCCTGGTTCGAAGTATTCAGAACACTTATGACAAAAGATATTAACTGGAACGACGCTTTGCTGATTAATACATGCTGCAAGTTTGCACATATTTATATATTGTTTGCGTATTTTGATTATATCAGCGACCTACCGACTGTTCATGTTGGTTACAGGGTTCGTATATAATTTTAAATTGTTTCGATTACTATACCGAACAGTTAAAGTAGATATGTATAATATATTTGTAAAATGTTGGGTAACTGTATAAATAATATAAATATAGTTGGAAGAGTTATCCATCACTCAAAGTTTTTACAAAAGGCACTCACTCTTCTGTGGTTTCAAACAAACGGTAAATTTTATAGCGTGATCGAAACTGTTTATCTTATCAATAATTTTATCAAGATCTTGCATTTTTAGATTATAAAATGGCAAGTGGTCAATATTCTGATTGTGATGGGGGCTAGTCATTATTTGATGTCGCACTGTGTAGATTACAACTTCGACATCGATGGAAATCTGATTAATATGAAATATCGGAATGCGTGCTGGATGCCTCAAATTTTCTCTATGCCAGAGGAGCTTGATAGCCAGTCATTACATTTGGTAAGAAATATTTGCAGATCATACAAACACTTGAGACCTCAGAACAGCAGGATTCGGAGCTTTGATCAACTTTCGCGAATCAAATACAATTCACAAAGCATAGGTATTGATGACCCGATAGTACCCATTTAAGAACTCTAAATAACAGGATATCCATCCTGTTATTTAGAGTTCTTAAATGGATACTATCGGGCAATGACAAATATTTCTTTAGGAGTTTGAGTGTATTTTAAGTAAAATATGTATGTATTTAAAAATAAGTATACAAGTATTCTGTGAATCAATTTATATTTTATAGCACCAGCTCTGCTCAGTTTGAAACTAGATGGCGTTATGTGTCAGTTGTCCGAAATATTTATTTATTTTTGACATCTCCTGCTATTCCAGCTCAGACATCTCAATTAATCTATTATCAAACAGTATGCTAATAACATAGCATATATTATTTTAAAATGATAATGAATTTCTTGATTACAGATATTTACTCAAAGTATATATCTTGCACAGTGCGGTATGATGTCGATGAACATCGGTGGTTTTATGCCACATAATTCAACGCACGGGATATCGTATGTGTTAATCTTTCTTGGCGTTGTATGTTGGTAAGAATACAAACATACAACTTTTTGAAACTTGCTTCGTAATCACCCATCAGTGATGAACGGTTTCTGGTACCAATAAACTAAGTAACTTCGGGCGCAGGAGCAACAGCACAACGTCGGGGTACCTACCAGGGATTTTCTTTCCAGGGTACAGCTGGCTCCCCGGCAACAACGGTTTTTGGTCGGTTCGAGTCCGACATAACCACCGCACAGGTGGTTGGTATCCGAGGGGATTTCCGCATACGAAAAAAAAAGAGGTAACAGCACAAGTATTGAACTGCAAGCTAATACATATGACTGTTATTTAAGAGTTGTTTTTATGATAATTTTCTTTCATCAAAAGTATTTTTTTACTATCTTACCATTTGGACCCATTATGTCATAAATGCGAAATGCGTAATTCAAACACTAAACGAATTTTGTTGAACACTCGCTATTAATATAATAGATTTTAGATAAGTTTACTCCGAAATAGACGGAACATTTTGTATGGAAATCATAAAAGAAAGTAGTTGTTCGTATAGAGTCCTAGTAGTAGATGCAATAAAATATCTCAGAGTTACTAATGTTAACAATTAAATAAGTACAATTCCCCCCTTTAAAAAAGATAAGTACCTAGTCAATAAATCAACAGGTGTTATTTGTCATTAATTTTTCGTAAGTGTCCTAATTATCATTAACTGTAATTGTTTTTTTTTATTTGTTACAATTTCTCGCATTGACTTCACCATCGATTACCACGAAATTTTGCATACAAATTGCAAGGTGCATACATTTTACGGTCAAACAGTATGTACCAATGCATATAACATAGACCTTTGTTCTGACTGATAGACATTGATTCTGAAACCTACATTGACGCGGGCAAAATATTGGCCAACAATTAGATTTATTGACAACAGCCTGTAATAGTCCACTGCTGGACATAGGCCGCTCCTTAGAAAGGAGGTTTAGGTCTGCTATACCACGCTGGCCAGTTTAATAAAATAGCAAATAAAAATAAAACGAATATGATTGTTCAAAGTTTTATTTATAAATTCCAATAAATATTTTTAATTATAATAAAAAAAAAAGATTTAAGTCTGGCTTTGCTTTTGTTTAACTTTGGTTAAACACCGTGTCGTAGGTATCACTCTAGAGTAGGAGTGACCTTTACAAAGAAAAAATATTTAATATTATCTTTTCAACTTAGAAGTTTCTTCATCCACGCGCATTTCTAATATTAAAATAATAACAAACAAGTAAGCATTTCAAAGGTACTCAACACCTATCATGAATGCGTTAATTCCTAAATAATCATATAAAAATATGTTTCACTTATGACTTTCCTAATTGTATTTAAAGTGGAACCTCTCATTAAATGGCTGTTATTTAAGACACACATTTTATTGTTCTAGGATCGTGACATGTTATACTCTATCGGTACTTGTATTAGCTTGTCGGGAGAACACGCTCTTTCAATATGGAGTCGATAGCTTGGATACCTTTTTAAGAAATGAACGCGTAGAAAAAAATATGATTGATAAAGCTATAGCACATTTTCGGTACTGCTGGATGAGGTAAGCTATTTAAGGATATATTTTTTTAAAAGGCACCAATAGCAACACAATGGTAAAGTTAGTTGTAAATTCTTTTTTTTGTATCATTGTTCTCCTACTGCAATATTATTCCTCATTGGTAATTCTCTTAGTATGTATAAATTAATCACTTAAAAAGACAACGAAAATTCTAGTTTCTTTTGAGACATTAATTAACGTTTTACAGTTTTTTTTGTGTGACTTATCATGACCCAGTAGTAAAAAGAACGAGATAGAGTAATAAATGATATTAGTATACGATGCTACAGTAAGAGCACGGTACACTATGGTTTTTCTAGCCAACAACTAACCAGGACAATCTATCCTTCTAAGAATTCCTCTGAAGACGAAAGGTAGATTAGACTAGAAACGTCAAAATTTACTTGGTTACTTATTATAACTTACTTTCGTCGGCTATTTAGTTTAAATCAAAGTGATTGTCTGTGTTGTCCGTGTGGTGACGGATTAAGAATACGGAATGTCACCACTCCTATTCATCCCGTGGGTGTCGTAAGAGCCGACTAAGGAAGTAAACTACGCAGGACAACAGCACTGCAAAGAGAAGGAAAACTTGAAATAAACCCAATATCAACCCGTCTGGCCACCGTGGTATAGCAGGCCAAAACCTCCTTTCTAAGGAGAGGCCTATGTCCAGCACTGGACTGTTACAGGCTGTTGATGATGATGATGATTGTCTTATTTAGATATTAATATATACGACTTCTCAGAATTATTTATTTTACAGGACCAAGGGTATAAATATTCAGAAAATGTTAAACAAGCGCATCGGACTGGTTTTTGGACAGGATTTAAGTTATGGCTGTTTTAAAACGTACGTGCAATGTTGCTCGTTTTAGCTGTACATAAAAATAATGTGCGATAATAATCATAAATAAAAAAAACAATAGATATGTTTATTACATAAAATTTATTTTATCAAGTATTTTTAATTGATTCCATGATTATACATAATGATACGTGTAGAGTATAGGTATAGAGTACATAGTAGTAGTGAATAGTACATTTCTCTTATACCTTTTTCATGAGGCCCAAGTAATAGTTTATTTATTTATTTATTATTGAGGACCTCCAACTAAAGATGTACACAATAAAACTACTTTATACAAGCAATAAGTTAATGTGTGTATGTTAGTGCAGTCCTTCAATTATAGGAGGCCACAACATGCATTATTTTACGCATTTTTTTTAGTAAATAGACAGTTACAGGATGAAAGTGTTAATTTTATTCATAATAAATATTTATACAAATACATACAGGACATACTTTGTATTAGACACATTACTCAATGGTGGGGAAAGTATGCAAAAACAATTAGCAAGAATTAGTTCCATCAATTATTTTTTACCTGGACATGAGATTATGAGAGAAATGGATCTTGTAGCTGACTTATTCGTGGTACATCGCGGAAGAGTTGTTTTAAAGAGGGATGGAAAGAAAATCATCACACTTACTAAGGTAACTTTAAAGCAAGGTTGTAAGATAAACAAGATTTCTGTTTCCTTAAGAAATCTAATTGATTCCTTAAGTTATAATAAAAACAACGCCATCTAGTTTCAAATTAAGCGGAGTTTGTACTATGAAAGCTACATTGATTGATAGAATACTTAGTTATTGTTATCCCCCGACGCAGAAGCGTATAAATTTGACGTGTATGTGTGTGTATTTGTCTCTGGATCGTAGCTCTCGAACGGATGAACCAATTTTGATTTTGTTTTTTTCGTTTGAAAGGTGAATTAGTCGTGAGTGTTTTTAGCTATGTTTGATGAAAATCGGTTCAAGCCACTTTGTGGCGGCGGCCAAGATGTTTGTGATGTGTTTTTTTTTATTATTGTAAATACTTACATATTATAAAAGTAAAAGACTAATCCTCGAGGTCTTCGAGTGAAACACAAACTGCATTGTACCACTGAATTCATTGCTATGAAATTGGCACACTATACAGAAAAAAATGTGTTTAACAAAAATATTTTAGTCGTCTTTATATGTCTCGGCTCGTAACTAAACTATACCGTGATTTAGCCCATAGGCACAGTGGCATCTATCGAGCCAAGGTGTAAATATTTAACACATTACTAAATTTGTACATACATAGAAAAGATCTAAACTCCAAACAAACATTTGCAGAACATAAAAGTTCTTCTTTTTTATTCGTCTAGCTATAAAATAAATTTATGTTGTTTTAAGCTGCATTTATAAAACAAAAATAGCAAAATCGTAAGCTACTCTTTAGTAGATATTCTCTTTCGTTTTATTACTAAATTTTAAAAACATACATAAACATGTATGGCATATTAAACGACCACATTTGCGAAATAATTTTAATCCCACTTGTGTAATACAGGGCAAACCTATCACCGTTAACCGGACATTTTAGGAATTAGTCCGCAAAATTTAAAGGTTTATATGAAAGGAAAAGTTCCTATGAGAAGACAATAAATGGATAGATGGATATGGATGGATTGGGTAGTACAAGCGATAGTCTGAGTTGGTCAGGGTCGCATGCCTGAAACTCTTTTTTCTTAGTGATATAATTTAAATTATTTTAGGGAGATATTTTTGGCCAACTAGTCGGTACTACACTACGGCCACTGAAAATTTCTGCCGAGGCTTATACCCATGCAGATGTGCTTCAACTGCCTATCAAAAGCTTTCAAGAAATCATAACCGATGAGGTAATGTTATTATCATAGATCTTCACCTATGAATTTGGAGATTTTTAAAACATCATTTTTGGATTTAATTAATGCGTGGATTGGCGCGGGTACATGCTATATGGGTACAGCTGGGTGTTTTTTCTGACTTCATCAGAAAACAGCAGACATTCAGCAGACTTCTACAGTAAAGGTATAAACAAACTACTGTCAAAATGGCAAAATTGTATACATAATTTGGGCTAGTACTTTGGTCAGCTAAAATAAAAATAAGTACAAATCTCCAACCTCATAGGTAAAGACCTTATATATATGAATATGTACCTAGTCTTTTACGCCCACTGTCGATTTCTCCTTATTAGGTCTTTAATATAAAGTGGTTTCTCGCCATACCTTGAGATATACTTAATTATCTGTGTGATAACAATCTTATTTCATATTTTTAAATACAGAGATGATTCACATTGTTTTTTTCTACAAAGGTGAGAAAGACCATCAACAAAAACATTCAATCTAAAAATGATTTTTTGGCGACGAGGACATGGTTCGTGGAAAATCCATATGACAGTATAGAGTACATTCTTAGATCGAAAAAGGCTATTCACCTTCCCGTAAGATTTTTTAACAGTTTAAAAATACAAATGCAATATAATAAGTTTCTCTAATGTGGTGGGACTACGGTGAATTCTTTTTCTCCGTAGTCCCACCACAATGTAGTGTAAAAAATGCCCGTAGTTCCACCAGTGGGGCGTAGCAGTGAGACGATGGGCAAAAGGGGTTTTTGTTAGGCCGTAGTGTCATTCCAGTCGAGCCTGGCCCATTATAATATGTGGCAAAACATGACTTTCCCATACTTGTTAAATTACCAATTATTGTTACATTAGTTAGTAAATAATAATATTTCGGACATGTGACACACAACGCCTTCTAGTTTTAAACTAAGCAGAGCTTGTACTATAAAAGCTAGATTCACTGATAGAATTCTTATTTACTTTTATTTTATAGAAATAAACACATTAATTGATTGGTAGTGAATGTAATAGACGTTAGTTTTTAGAGATAATTTACTAGATTGATGCGTTCTCAATTTATCGTCTTTATGTTTTTCGCAGTGGATGCCTAAACCAATAAAGGCTCACTATCGAACCTGGTACGCGTGGTGGTTATATTTGTCGTGGTTTGTTGGCCCTTGTATTACGGCGTTCATTGTGGTGATACTACCGTGGACCGCTCTGCCCCAGAGCTGCGTCCACGGGCTATACGTAGTACTTACACTTCTGGATATATTACATATAGCCAATGTCATAAGTGAGTTTTATTCGGTGAGTATTAAAACTTTTGATATTGCACAACATTAAAAAAAAAAGAAAAAAAATTACCATAGCAAAGTTAATTTCATCCGTTTTTAATATTCTTATTCTCGACCCAAAAGGCGTGTATAAGTTTAGAGTTGTCACTGACTTGACGTGTGTATCCACGTGTGACGTGTGTGTGTTTGTTTTGAGCCATCTTTATATCCCGAACTAGTTGATGATTTCGACGTTATCGTGTTCTAGATTAATTTTTCTCATGGTTTCCATACAAAAAGTACTTTTTGGGTCTCCAAAGTAACCCTCCTTTTTGTAAAAGTGTCCTGAATCTATCAAAAATTATTATTTTAAATTTGTGATCATTCAATTCTTATACTGGCCCTGTATATAAAGCGTCTCAATTTATAGATGTTTTACGTATCCATCCAAAACGATCTAGTATATTATTTAACGATTATGATGTCGACACAGGGGTAGGGAAGGTAAATGGGCTGTAAGAAATGGTTAATCCATCAGCGCAATAAAGAAATTCAATTGTTTTCAGGCAAACCTCATCGTTGAAAACAATAGATGTGTGAGACGTATTATCGGTTTTGGCAGTCTCAAAAAGTGGGAATTTTACGTGGATACATTGTCGCTTGTAATACCTTTATTTAATATAATTGATTATGATCGTCGATATCAATTGGCAAAGTTGTTAAGACTAAAATGGTTTATCGACTTCGAGTATCATTTCTGTCAAGGATTTAAGGTAGGCGTTCACAATACCTACACTATTATTATTTTCACCTTTTTAAGGGCCCTTAAATACATAATTTAACATTGAACCATAAAGGACATGGCCAATTTATACAAGGCCCTCTGCCTAGCTTGTAAAAGTTCATGTACATTAACGAAATTTTGCTTTTTGGAATTAAATTTGTCCTAAAAAATATAATGTATATGTTACATATTCCATGTACTTCAGATTTTTTAGATATTTACATAAAAGGATGTCATGTTTTAATCCTTCTTAAACTTAAAAGCAATGAGTTCATAGAAACTGTTTTGCTTTCATAAAAACTACAGGCGTTCGGAGCACTGAAAAGGTATTAAATGGATACATAATAAAAATAAATACGATATTATTTTTAAAGACGACCGTGGTAGTAAGTGCGTTTGAATTAAGTGGCCCTAGTTCGGTTTCCAGTCGGTAAAACATGCTTAAGTTTATCCTGAAAAAGTATTTTTTAACGAGGATGCGATAACTAAGAAATATAATTATTAAATACTTCAAGATTATTTTAAGTTCAGATTTTAGATTAAGGTGCGCTGAAGGACTGAGTGGATGCTTAATGGATTGGTAATGGGTGAAATAAAAAAATATAGTTTTTATATAAAATGTTTTATTATGACATTTAATACTACTTTACGGTACTTTTGTATAAATAATACAACGTGAGCAAAATGCCAAAATTCTAAAATATAGTGACAGATCCGCTGTCATGATAACATAGCATTACGTTTTGTTTAGCAAATCACAAAGAAGTATAATTATTATGAATTAATAACAATCATTTATAATATTTTTATATATGTACATAAATATCATTACTATATTGATTTTTAATCTTTAGTACTATTTTGAACCAACGTAATTATTTTTACATATTTACGCTGGTTTTATACGTAAACATTACTTTTACTGGAAACACGTTTTCTCAAAATGGCGCAGAACCTGAATGTATAGGAAATAAAAAAAAAACTCTTTAATCTTGTGTTAACACTCGGAAGTTAGACAGAAATGTGAAGGATGCCATAATTTATATATTTCTTTTTATTTTCTTATCATAAGGCTGTTATTAATGTACATGCTACCAAAAAACTAGGCAGAAACTGGCCATGTCCTTTGTGTATACCATCATAGATTGACCGTAAAGTATTTAATTTAATGTAATTTAATTTTAAATTAAAAACCTCCAATTTTTTAATTTTGTACAACTTATCATTTAAACTGCATGTAGCATTTAAAGACCTGGCATTAAAGAAATTAAAGCATTTTAAAACTGTTGTTTGTACAGACTAAGTTGGCCCCGAGAGCTCTGAAAGCCGCTATTATATTACTCTTACTTCATATATTTACATGTGGATGGATTTATGTCGCTTGTAGCGGTAAGTTCTGATGAAATAATAGGTACAGATATATTTTAAGAATATCTATTTACAGGCCAACATGCTTTATGGTGGCAATCAATTAAAATGCTCTCTGTAGTTTATAATATAACCTTCAAGAAAAGAGCGAACTCCTTCCTCAAGGGCTGGCAGCAGCACTCCTGATGGTGCAGGTGTTCATGGCCAGCGGTAGTTGCTTTCTATCAGTCGACTAATCACGAAGAGAATAATTTCGTTTCACATTGACTAAGGTTTTATTTCTTACAGAAGAGAAATTTCCTTTCGATGTTCCGGATTTCAAGAAATTAAATTTATCGCTTGACTTCAACGAGTGGACTCATCCCGATCTCCGAAAAGGCGGTAAGTTCATCAATTAATAATTCCTTATGAGAAATACCCAATTTTCTTTACGTCGTTTGGTCTGGTGCACTTCATTTGGTTTTTCTTATTTTGCATATTAACAGAAATAGAAAATTTAAATTCAATGTTTGTAGTCCGGTCAATTTAGACATTCGAAGTTACATAAAGTCCCAACAAGCTGAATTTCTGTGAAGTTGTTCAAAACATAATTATAAACAATGTCTAGAAGTTCCCCATCATTCCCCTGTAAGGAAAAAATTTAATTCAACGTCAAAGGTCAAAAAAAATAGTTTTTCGCGATTTTCAGCAAAACGGTAAGTTTTATAATAAAAGTACCTCAAACAAAAATTGTAGATCATAAAATTATCTATAAAAAATGTATGAATACTTTTTTTCTTACGAGCCACCGTTTCTGAGATATAACGATTCAAAAAGTTATAAAAGTTGTTATCGTCATAATATGCACATGTTTCCACGCCACCTATGAGGTAGTGTACTTAGCGCGTTTTTTTTAATGTGGGTTCCCCAGTAGGCCTACTCCACGGGTCACTTGTGATCCTGTTTAATGTAAAACTATTGCAAAATAACGGAAATTTTCAAAGATTGGGAAAGATAAAAGCGATGTAAATGAAAAAAACAGTGTTGAAGTTTATTCGTCTTATTCGTAAGTTTCAAATTCTTGTTCTTCTTCTTGATCTTCTTCTTGTTCTTCTTCTCCTGCTTCTTCTTCATCTTCATTTTGGATGCAAGTAAATTGTGTCAATAGCGATGTATCGCATGATACTTCGTCGGAGTCAAACGAATCCTCCATTGTTTGTGATTCAATATTAAAGCACGACTGGCCTTGAAAATTTGTGCATGCCAAAGAACAAGACAGTCCGACTTTTTTGCAACCACATTTAGCACTGCATCCCTTTTTGCAGTTGCAAAAAATAGTGTTCAGCAGTTTTTCCGGCGCAGGTGGAAGTAAAGTTTGAACTGACTCTAATATATTGTTGACCAACTTCCAACTCCAGTCTGTAGGGTCTAGCTGATAACCAAGCCACACTTGAACTTGGTAATATACTCGAAAAAGTTTTTTTTATTTTTATTTATTCATTTTTTTTTCGTACCAGACTTGATTCAAAATATCATGATGATTATCCACTAAGCATATGAATGTTGATGCTCCCGATATCTCAGTGAAAATAAGTTTATCACCATATTTTACTTTTAGTCGTAGCTTAATCGTTCTGTTATCTAGAGTCGAAGTTTTGCAAACCTTTTGTAATTCGTTCAAAGTGAACTGACAGTCTTCGCTATTTTCAATGTAAGTAAATATTTCCTCCATTGCCAAATTCGTAGCTTCGTCTTTAGGACGACCCATTTTAGCTCCAGTGGAAGGTTTTAAAAAATTAGCATAGCAATCTCTATGATACTTAGCTTCAGCAGCAACTAAATCATATTCAAATTCGACTCGAGCAAGAACAGCGTTTGCTAAAGCATCGTCACGAGCCCGAGCTGTTTCCAGAATTGAATCTTTAAATTGAAGTGTACTTACTTGGCTGATTCGACGCCGAAAATCTGAGGATTTTCTTCTTTCACTCTCTTCATTTAATTTCTCGCCATAAGCATAGTTCTTTGAAACAAAAAGCTGATTCACTGATACGTGATCTAGTACGAGGAGGACTTGCTGTGGATGTACTGGCTTCTTGTTCTTCACGTTGTCTTTTATAAGCTGCAGCAATAGAAGACTTTCGAGTATAATTTTTACGGCAATTTTCATGTATTGTCACAGATTTCTGATTTTTTAGATATTCCGAAAAATCATCAGCTCTTTCGATACTTGCATTAATTAATGTCTTCATACCACGTTCAACAGTAACAACTTCACTTTCAGTTAAAAGTTTAGCACAAATAAAACAATATTCAGACATTTTTAATATAAAACTCAAAATAGCACAATATAGGTTTGGATAAACACGTGTTTTCACTACAGAGTGACGCTCAAGACTAACAGTATTTCATTTATTATAGCAGGTATAAGACCCTAGCCACGCACACAATAGAAGAAGAGACAGATGTCTCGAAGTTACACTGGCTTAAAGATTAAGGGACTGGGTTTCATTTTACCTGATATTCTTGTAGTTAAAACTTATTTATTTATTTATTTATTTATTTATTTATTTGGTCAGCCAACGATTATTACACTAAACATTACAGAATTGACTTAAAGACTAAACATGTGTGAGTGCAATAATCACTTACAGGCTAACACCACATGCACTTAAAGTAACGGTTTTACAAGTTTAAAATAAATAGGATATAGGTAAATTATTAATTTAACATGATTAAAAACAAGCATAACAACAAAACAACCATTAATTAATTAGCAATTAAATTAAATTAAATTAATTCCGTTTTTTTGTAAGGAAAGAAAATATTAAAATAACAATTCAGATGAAGTTCAATAAAATAATTTACAATTCATTCAAAGTGATTGTACTTGAGTTATTCCAGTGAGTACTACACCAATAATATTATGCATTAAAACATTTAAAAAGTTTAAATTATGTAACAAATTAGGATTAAATAAAATAAAAATTGTAATAGTTGTATTGTGTGTCATATAAATAAATAAAAACATATAATAAAATAAATAGAAATTTCACAAATTCAACTTGAGACAAAAATTAAAATCAAGATTATAATAAAAATTTGTTAATTCTGAATCAAACTCACACTATAACAAAAGAGTGCTATAACCAGATAAGGTTATTATTTGTTTTCATAAAGAATAACATTACAGCTCGGTCAACAATACAATGCAGTCATTCATTTTTTTGTGTGAACTGGTTGATGATGCACTTATAAAACTTACTAATGCTATCATGGTGTAAATCAATCAAATCACTGCAGCCATTCAAAATTCTGCATAATCTGGGTATAAGTGAGTTAGTGCCTGACATTGTTCTCCTTAATGGTGGACACAGCGGTGTAATACTGTTTCGAGGATATCTAGACGGAGCCCTGAACCTTATAAGACTCAGTAAATCTGGACAATCGATTAGGTTTCTCACGATTTTAAATAAATATAATGCATCAAACACGTCTCTGCGCACCGACAGTGGGTGCATCCTAAAATACTGCAATCGGTTGCTATACGTGGTCAGATGTTTACCTTTGCCTGAAGATAATGTAAGGTATGACAGAAAGCGCTTTTGAACGCGCTCTATGCGTAACGTGTGCACGGCATAGTGGGGTCTCCACACAACACAACAGTATTCCAAGATACTCCTCACGAGACTATTGTATAACATAATTTTTGTGTTGCTTTTGAACTCTCTAGTATTCCTCATAACAAAGCCTAACATTTTAGAAGCTCTTTTAACTATATTATCGATCTGAGGTACAAAAGTAACTTTACTATCGAAAAGAACGCCAAGATCTTTAATAGTTTTCACTTCCTGTATCTTTAGGTTATTAATAAAGTATTCTGACTTAAGGGGGTGAGCTCTCCTAGTGAATTTTAGGTGATAACATTTTTCAGTGTTTAGTAGCATTTTGTTATACCTACACCAATTAATGAGTCTGTTTAGATCGTCTTGCAGTAGTTCGGTATCACTAGGGCAATCAATTCTTCTGGCAAACTTTAAGTCATCGGCGTAGAGAAAACACTCAGAAAATTGAAAACAGTTAGGGATGTCGTTAATAAATAAGTTAAAAAGTATGGGAGCCAGATGTGAACCCTGAGGGGCTCCAGAAGTTATGCCACGACCTGTAGATTGAAAACCGTTCACAACAACAAAGAATTCTCTCCCCGTCAGGTACGATTTTATCCATTCGAGAAAGGGTCCTGTGATACCATAAGCTGACAGTTTATGTAACAGTATCTTATGCGAGATCTTGTCGAATGCCTTGCTAAAATCAGTATAAATGACGTCATACTGTTTATTTACATCCATAGCCTGCACCAGCGATTCCGTAAACGTTGATAGGTTAGTGGCTGTGGACCTTGACGCAACGAAACCATGCTGTCGATCACTAATGTACAGTCTCAGATGTCGCTGGATGGAAGGACATACCATAGCCTCAAAGATTTTAGCAAAGGTCGACAGAATAGAAATAGGCCTATAATTAGATATTGCCTCTCTTTTATTCGACTTATATACTGGCACTACTTTGGCTTTTTTCCACTCTCGTGGGAACGTGCCTGTACACAGCGAAGTGTTATATATACGTAGAAGCGGGGAAGTCAGGGCAGATGCACAGGCAGATATGAAAATCGGTGGGATACCATCAGGACCCGGCCCTTTTCTAATATTAACAGTTTGCAGTTTCTTAAGTAAGCTGTCATAGTCAAAAGTTGGGTAGGTTAAGGACAGGCTGTTACTATTCAAAGAGTTCAAAAATTCAGATTCGCAATTAAACTCTTCGTCGTCGTCTTGAGTATAAACAGATGAAAAATAATTCGCAAAAAGATCACAGATGGTTGGACCATCGGATGTTGTACTCTTTCCATCGGTCATAGACAACGGGTATACACTGGATCCTCCACGTTTTGCTTTTACGTGCGTCCAAAAGAGCTTAGGATTATCCTTGATTTTGCCTTCCATATCTTTCATATAACTGGAATACAGAGTTTTAGCAAGGATTTGACATCTCGTAGTAATTAGCTTTAGTTCTATTCCATCTCTTGGGTTTTTATATTTCTTGAAGCGTACTCTAATTCTATTTTTTTCCTTAAGAGCTCTGATAATGTTCTTATTAAACCATGGGGGAAAAGGGCTGTTTAATGGTTTACAGAATGGCACATATTCATAAATGGCCGTATTTAAAGTTTTGTAAAAAATCTTTAACATGTCATTCACATCTCTTTCTGGAGCGAGTAGTTGATACCAGTTTTGATTATTTAAGTAATTGTTAATTTTCTCATAGTCCGCTTTAAAGAAGTTCGGTCTCTTACTTAATTTATTATAAGAGAGATAATTTTGTTTTGACAAAAATATAGTTACATCTAA